AACTGTCCATTAGTTAGATTAACTTTGAACCGTTGTATCTTAGAAATGATTAAAGATATCTTACAGGAATTCTCCGAGGTTTTTAAAACACTATTGAACTCTACTTTGAGAAATAAGAACGGATAATTACTCTCCAAGGTTAGCAACCGAAACATGATGAAATCGATCGTAGACGAACATGACATGTACATCATTAATTGATCAAAGCTAAGGATCGGAAGCTCATGAAGTTTATATATATATATATATATATATATATATATTATTTCTAAAACTTATTTCACTTTCAAATCTTTTTTTCATTGCTCTTTGGACTGTCATAGCTGAAACTCTCTCACGTGACAAACTTCTTATGGGTTGAGTTGGATCTTTTCTAATTGATCTCTTTAGCTCTAAGTTGAAATGATGATCCCTCTTCCTGTTGTGAGCTCCTGATCCAGTTTTTCTCTCTACTGTTCCGTCTTTTTCTTTTTTTAAACTTTTCTCTGTTCTCATGATGGTTCTTGAATGAACTTTGGAGATGGAAGCCAGTGTATGAACGTTGGTACCATTAGTGAAGGCGTGAGTGATCCTTTTCCTTTCAACATTGCTCAGTTGGGAAGACTGTGGGACTGAAAGAAAACGATTTTAACATGCTCTTTTTTTAGCCGAATAACTCAAAGGGTTTACCAATGATTCTTACGACAATTGATGTTATTATGGCTAAACGGCTTATCTAAAAACTTAGAAAACAGTGTTTTTTTTTTCCTTAGATATTAAACATTTTGTGAAATGGACAATTATGCTGTTATACTATTTGGACAATTTTGCTGTTACATACGGTATATAAAAGTGAACATTGAAGTCAAAACAAAGATGCGACAGTCTGGTTCATGCTAAGAGCGTTGTGTGTTTGCTCGACTTTTTACGTATACAACTCAGTGATCCATTGTGGGTATTTTAATTTAATATGTAGTCAAGTCGCTAATATAATTTATATAAAAAATAAACATTAAAATAACCATTTATCTAATTATATTGACAAGATTTTGTCTATTTGGTCTCTTTACATTTCTAGCAGTGAGCGAATGGTTATCGACATACGCATACTCAAGCAGGTTGTAGACTGGGGAGTTAGGTGGCCAGCTGTAAGGGGTGATATGATCGCATAAATTCTCTGAGAACAATGACTGGCTTCTCCTGTTTGTGTGGCATGGTGTAGAGAACTGTTACTATATATATATATATATATATATATATATATATAGCTTCTTATAGCATCCACCCCGTTGACCAGGGCAGCACTAACTCTTCAAGGTACTTGATGTAAAACTCCTTGTTGAGTTTGATGCCCTGTGTGAAGATGAATGGAGGTATAACGTAGCCATCACTTCAAATATCTTTGTAATCCTCATTAGATTCATTCACTTCTTTCCAAAATCCTCTGCTCTCTTCTCACATTAACACCCCGACCCTCTGAAATGTTCGTATTGGAGCGAATACCAACATGTTTTTTCCGAATTTCCGGCATAGTGAATTGCGTCATGGTGCTCTTTTTATCATAGAAGATGACCAGCTGACCCTACTATACTATGAAGTTGACAAAATCAAAAACAAAGAAAAATAAAATGAAATAAAATTTTGGAAAATTCACCCATCGTACCCTGTATAAAAGGACTGATCAAAAATATCAGAACTGGTGCTATAAAAAAAAACTACAACACATATCAATTCGACATTTAATCTCCTTCGAACTAGTCCTCTTCTGAAAACACACACATTATCCAGTTGTCGTTTCCATTGATGGAAGCATTCAAGGAACTCCTTTTTTGTGATAGCGAGCAGCTATCTCATCGCATTCTCTTGGATTATCTAGAAGTTTGAAATCTTATCCCTTTCAAGCGGGATTAGATTTTTGACGAGGAAAAAAGTGGCAAGGGGCGATATCTAAGGAATATGGTGGTTGTCGGACCTGGGAAATGTTGTACTTAGCCAAAAAAGATTTCACGATCTATGGTTACAAGTGGGACGTCTGGAGTTTAGTGAGACGACCACATTCTGCACACTCTCCGTCTGAGCACCGCTATAATCAACGGAAGAGATGGAGAACGTTAAAGCTTAGTGTGCATGTGTGACACAGTTCCCGTCCTATATGTACTAAGCGGCTTCACTCGGTGTACATTAGCTCCGTTACTATAGCAACAGTCCCGATACTTTTTGATCAGACCTCCTATAATAATCTCCTATATAAATAGAATATATATCGTGAGATCATTAATACAACCATACTTGCCTGTGTCCTGAACGGCGAAGCATCGCTAAACTCTAAATGTTGATCTTAGATAAGTATCACGAACTTTCAATTTTTCTGACGCAATTATATATATATATATATATATAGATATATTGTAAAATAGCCATTCAAAGAGTAAATCAATAAAGTTAATGTAATTAATGGCGAATTCATTTCGCTAACAGATTAAGAATGTATTAACATTGAACAACGAGATCCTTGTTTTTAATAATTGTACAATAGATTAGATGTTCGATCCATATTGATCGGAAGTACTTTCGGTGAAAACATTCATCATCTTCAGGCATAGATTTGATTCCCTCAATTTCAGGTAATTTCAAGTAAAAATTCCACGACGAAAATGAATGTGATAGTTGTGAATGTATATGAACATCTAATCTATTGTACAATTAATAAAAACAAGGATCGCGTCGTTCAACGAGTGGTCAGTAAGTTAATTTTTTTTTTTAATTTTAATTAAAAAGTGAATTCACTAATAATAACTTTATTGATTTATTCTTTGAATGACTATTTTACAATATTAATTAAACTGCAGGATATATTAATTTGAACATATATATATATATATGTGTGTGTGTGTGTGTATAATGCCTGTATATATTTATATATGATTTTTATGTGAACAGAGATGTGAGTAGCGGCCCAATATCAATATTTCTATACCGTTATATCTTTTTTTCTTTATAGGCTGTTAGATTGAAGGTGTGATGTTGAGAAGAATAAGCTTATTTTCTTTTTACAGGATAATACAGAATTTTTCTTTAGCGAAACTACTATAAAAAAAAAGCAAAAAAAAACAAAAACAAAACAAAGGGAAATAATGGCGAAATACGGGCATTTGCGTGATGTAATCACCAGAGATGTTGAAAGCACATGCGAACGTTGGAAGGCCTTCCCTGGGTTCCACTCTTGCGTCAGCTACACCGAGAACAATACTGATTGTGTTAGCTCGTTCAACAAGCCGGGCGTTTTGTCCACATGCAATTTTTTTTTATTCTCGCGCAGGCTTGAGGAGCCTTTAAAAAAACAAAAAAAAAAACAAAAACAAAAAACAAAAAAAATACAGAAGAGTTGTGAGAGAGAGGAAGAATATAGCCTTGGGAAAACCTGGGAATGTAATCATTCCAAATCTCATTTCCTTCACAGGTGGCACTCAAAAGAATGCCGAGAATTCCATTCGGCGAATAAAGTCATAATAACCATAGACTCGTCTCGTGCTACTTTTGAAGATGAGAATATGCACCGAAATCTGCGCGTGCCAAACCTTTTATGAAGATAATGCAAGGACCCAATAATAAATAATGAAAGAAACAGAGAATTAATATTAAGAAAATATAATGACTTCTTAAAAGTCCACCTTTCAATAGAATGTTCGGATAACAATCATATGACGGGTTTCAAAAATGTTTCTCTCCAGAAAATAATTAATACATTTTCTGCAGTTTAATACAATTTGTCATTTTAAATAACATAAATAAGTCAATCCCTATCTATCTTGGGAAAACCTAAGATAGATAGATAGATAGATAGAAGAGAAGAGAAAATTGAGATAGATAAACCCTTATCTATCTATCTATCTATCTATCTATCTATCTATCTATCTCAGTTTTCTCTTCTATCTATTTTTATATTTCAGTTTTCTCTACTATCTATCTATTTATCTATCTCTCTATCTCAGTTTTCTCTTCTTTCTATGTATCTATTTTTATATTTCAGTTTTCTCTACGATCTATCTATTTATTTATCTATCTATCAATCTATCTATCTATCTATTTCACTTTTCTCTTCTATCTATCTATCTATCTTAGTTTTCTCTTTCTATCTATCTATCTATCTATCTATCTATCTATCTATCTATCTTAGTTTTCTCTTCTATCTATCTATCTATCTATCTATCTTAGTTTTCTCTTCTATCTATCTATCTATCTATCTATCTATCTATCTATCTATCTATCTATCTTAGTTTTCTCTTCTATCTATCTATCTATCTATCTATCTCAGTTTTCTCTTCTATCTATCTATCTATTTTTATATTTCAGTTTTCTCTACGATCTATCTATTTATTTATCTATCTATCTATCTATCTATCTATCTATCTATCTATCTATCTATCTATTTCAGTTTTCTCTTCTATCTATCTATCTATCTTAGTTTTCTCTTCTATCTATCTATCTATCTATCTATCTATCTTAGTTTTCTCTTCTATCTATCTATCTACCTTAGTTTTCTCTTCTATCTATCTATCTATCTATCTTAGTTTTCTCTTCTATCTATCTATATATCTATCTAAGTTTTCTCTTCTATCTATCTATCTATCTATCTATCTATCTATCTATCTCAGTTTTCTCTTCTATCTATCTATCTATTTTTATATTTCAGTTTTCTCTACGATCTATCTATTTATTTATCTATCTATCAATCTATCTATCTATTTATCTATCTATCTATTTCAGTTTTCTCTTCTATCTATCTATCTATCTATCTTAGTTTTCTCTTCTATCTATCTATCTATCTATTTTTATATTTCAGTTTTCTCTACGATCTATCTATTTATTTATCTATCTATCAATCTATCTATCTAAGTTTTCTCTTCTATCTATCTATCTATCTATCTATCTATCTATCTATCTATCTATCTATCTCAGCTTTCTCTTCTCTTCTATCTATCTACCTCAGTTTTCTTTTTTATCTATCTGTCTATCTATAGATATGTATGTATTTATGTTGTTTTACTTTCAAATATTTCTAGAAATCTATCTATTTCTGTCATATTAATAGGGTCTTAATACGAAGTTACAGTGTCATTGCTGACTCACTTCTGTCGTTACAGCTTTGGATATCTGATATGATATGACAAGCACATACGAAATTTACATGGCATCATCCCTTTATTTTATTCAGTCAGCATAGGAAATATTGAGATTCATCGGTTATTATAATAAGTTAAAAATCTTTAAAATCATTTTCTTTAACAAATGTTTGTAGCCCAAAACGAAATATGCAGGAGTGCTCCTGAGTGTCGAATTATAAGTTTTAAGAAAATACTACTACTACTAATAATAATAATGATAATAATAATAGGACCTGTAACAATTTTCTGAAACTTTACAATGCACAAGCAGGATCAATCAAAGCTAATCTTCCAGTTATCGTGATCAAAGACATAAGAACAGAATGGGCTTTCTTATTGACATGCCAATTCCTGCAGGTTGTAATGTATCTTTGAAGATCTTGACAAAAATGGAAATCTCAAAAATGTGACATTAATAATTCCAGTTGTTTTTGGGGCCATGAGATTGATTGGAAAAGTTTCCATAGACTCACTGAAGGGATCCCCTGTAGCCCTTGCCTTAAATTGAAAAAAAATGTTCTCAAAAGTACATCTCACAACTTACGAAATGTTTTATTTATGTAAAATGCGTGTGATCTTAGGGTGTTTATTTATTTATTCTTTTACAAAAATGATCAGTGCAAAATGTCATGATGCCATATCTAAGCTAGGGTATCTGGTTAGGAACAGAAAATTAATGAATATACAACATAAATGAAATGAAATAATAATAATAATAATAATAATAATAATAATAATAATATCCAGAAACGATTGATCATCTTGTATCAGGTTGCACGATATTGGCACCCACTGAGTATAAAACCCGGCATGACAGAGTGGGCCAATATCTGTACTGGAAAATTTGCAACTTTTACGGGAAGAAAACTGAAAGAAACTGGCATGAACACCACCCAGTCCCGGTTACGGAGATAGGACCTGTTACAATTCTATGGGACTACGCAATACACACTGACAGAACAATCAAAGCCAACCGGCCAGATATTGTTATTAAAGACCACAAACAAAAACGCTGCCTCCCTTATTGATATGGCAGTCCCCAAGGACTGCAATGTATCTTTGAAGATATTCAAAAGTTGTCAAAATACAAGGACCTTGAAATAGAAATCTCGAAAATGTGGCATATGGGAGCATCAATAATCTCTGTTGTAGTTGAAGCCCTAGGACTGGTTGGAAAAGATTGCAGTAGACTAATTGAAGAGATTCCTGGAAGTCCATGCCTCAAGGAGATACAAAAAATTGTTCTGACAAGTACAGCCCACACTTTACGAAGGGCTTTATCTATGTAATTTTTTTTTTTTTGTCAGTGGAAAGTGTCATGACGCCATTTCTAACTTTAGGTCCCTGGGCGGGACCCGGAAAGAAATGTGTAAACGCCAGAAATCAAAGAAAATAAAAACAATAATAGTAATACAAGTCACAGGATGGATCACTTATTCTATATTGATGATCTTAAAACGTTTGACAAATATAGCAACTAACAGGGAAAACTACACACCATTGTCAAAACCTTTAGCGAAGATATTAGGATGCTGTTCTGAATCGACAAATGTACCAAAGCCAACTTCAAATGCGGTAAACTAACGAAAACTACGGATTTAAACCTTGATATCAACAACAAGATTAAGGAACTAGACCAAGATGGTAGATACAAATACTTAGGAATTAAAGAAGGAGACGGAATACATCATTCAATTATGAAGAAAAAGATGCAAATAGAATATTATAGGTGAGTGCGCCTGATACTTGAAAAGAGACATAATAGGGCCAATAAAATGAAGTCTATCAACATCTTAGCTCTACCCTAGTAACGCAAAACTTCAACATTATTAAATGGAAGCTGAATAAGATTAAAAGATTGTATACCGAGATCAGAAAAATGAGGATACGCCACCCGAAATCAGATGTTGATGGGATGTACATACCAAGAGCTTTAGGACACTGAGGTCTAATACAACTTGAACCAACTCTAAAAGCTACAACAATCGGATTGGAAGCGTACCTCACAAAAAAACAATGATATTTTCCTACAAATAAAAAAAAACATCAAGGCCATTCCATCAACAAAGAAGCTGAACTTTTCAAGAAAAAGCTTAATATACCTGAAATCCTACCAACAAAAAAAAAAAACGAATACAATCTACGCCAAACGAGCCAATTAGAAAGCAAAATAATTTCGAAGAAACTGGCAGGACAAGATATTGCATGGCAAATAACTAAAAAGAAGGAAAGAAGCTGATGTAGACCAACAGAAAACGCATCAGTGGCTGAGTAGCACTGGGTTGAAAGCTGAGGAAGAAGGCCTAATTATTGCAGCTCAGTACCAAAGCCTCGTAACCAGATCCTATCACTGTGACATAATTAATGATGGAACTAACCCAAAATGCAGGATCTGCTGGAAGTATGATGGAACTGTCGATACTATTATTTCAGTATGCTGGAAAGTACAAAACTTGAATATACCCAGAGATATAAAAAGGTAGCAACATATGTGCATAAAACCGAAACCATTGAGAGATGGTATGAGCACCAATCAGATACACTTACGCAAAATAACGAATAACTGTGTCATGTCAATTCAAACTGATAGGCAAATAAAAGCCAACAGACCTGGTATTATAAAAATGCCAGAAAGCCAGGAAGTGTATGCTTATCGACATAGCAGTACCATCTGAGAGAAACAGCTTCATGAAAATTATCGAGGAATTTTTCATATACACTGACCTGGAGATCGAGATGTGGGAAATGAAAATTGGTGCTGTAGCAATAGTAATCAGTGATTTGAGTTTCGTAAAAAAAAAGAAATGGCAGTTTTACGACCAGTACTCCAAGGTAGCATAACAATAACAGGCACTAATAAGACATAAAAATGTAGGGACATATGTGCAATGAAAGATATGCAAGAAGCACAAAATCAAAACCACTGAGTGATGGCACCAACCAGACATAATTGCCCAAAATAACGAAGTAACTATCCCCTGGTACATGCCAATTCAAACGGACAGGTAAATAAAATCCAACATAGCTGATATTATCATAAAAAAAACCCCCAGAAAATCAGGAAGTGTATGTCTATTGACATAGCAGTACAATCTGAGAGAACACATCGATAAAAATTACCGAGAAATTGTCCAAATACAAGGACCTGGAGATCGAAATGTGGGGAATGAAGACTGAGACTAAACCAATTGTAATCAGAGCTCTGAGCCTCGTGAGAATGGACAATTTTCCAACTAGTGTCCCAGGTAACATGAACGCACCAATTACCCAGAAGACCTCCCTACTAGGAACATCGTATATACTAAATAAAGTGCTATCAACTAAATCACGATTCTCCTATAGGGCCTGAGGACCAAAGTTTGGGCACGGCTCTACAGGATAAAGGCAGGAAACATAACATAAAATTAATAATAATAAAAGGCACTAATAAGACATAACAATGTAGCGACATATGTGCACTAGAAGATATGCAAGAAACACAAAATCGAAACGACTGTGAGATGGTATGAAAACCAACCAGACATAGTTACACAAAATAACAATGTAAGTGCCCTCTGGGATATGACAATTCAAACTGACAGAGAAATAAAAGGCAGCACACTTGATATTATCATAAAAAGACCAGAAAGTCAGTAAGTGTATGCTTATTGACCTAGCGTTACCTCCATGGAAATTATCGGAAAATTGACCAAATACAAGGACCTAGAGATGGAGATCAGGGGAATGAAGACTGAGACTATACCAATTATAATCGGAGATCTGGCCCTCTTGAGAAAATGAAAAACAATTTTACAACCAGTGTCACAGGTAAAACATACAATTTGCCCAGAAGATCGCCCTACTAGTAACATCAAATATACTAAGTAAAGTGCTATCAATTAAATCACGATTCTCCTATACGGCCTAATGACCATAGTTTGGATCCACCTCTACAGGATACAAAGCAGGAAACATTACATACAGAAAGAATAATAATAATAATAATAATAATAATAATAATAATAATAATAATATGCTTTCGTTGCAATTGAGACTGTCACTCCCATGTGGTTCTGTAGAGCATATACCAGATTCTGTGCCGCCATCAGCAGCTGCGGCGTAACCTTTTTGGCTGCAGATCTATGTTCTCTCGAGAACGACGTATGGTACACATTATATTCGACTAAACAATTAATTATATAATCCAGGCTGCCAAAGTTAATAAAATGAATACCAAAAGTAAATGACCCTTTTAGTTGATAGCGTTTTTTTATTAATAGCGTGCGGATCCCGAGACGACATTGAACGCAATATTGTTCAACATTATTCAAATTGATATCGGCAAGTGTCTATGTGGCTTTGTTGATTTCTCCGAACGTCGATTTTACATTCATGCAAGGATGTGAAAGACTCTCTTCTCTTTTTACCCTCTTGCGTGGGTGTTTATATATCATCTCGTCGGCTGTCTCACGTGTCCTAAGTGCAGCCGATTACCCGTTTGTATATAGTGCGCAGTCACTGATATCCAGTGAAGGCGGAATCTTCAGCGGATGCCAGGAGGCCATCTTTCAGGACGAAGTACTGATGCACCTAAACAGTGTGAATCGCTGGTGTAAAGCAAAGTCTATCGTAGTATCTTCAGAAGTATAAAAAAAAAAAACAAAAAAAAAAAAAACATAGTCAAATAAAGCATCAGGAAATGAATGCAAACTTACAACTATTCCAGTCTTTCTGCGTCTAATATTCGAACCCCGTGGATACTAGAACCTAAGGCTGTCGCAGTATCGTTTCTGACTCACACTCGGCGTTACGTCTTTTGGTTGTTTGTTTGTTTTTGCTTTAGCGGCATATTAACCTCTATGCGTTAATTACTGCTG